GGGCGGGCGAAGGGGGACTGCGGGGCTGCTCGGGGCGGGGGTCCGGCGTGCCGCCCTCCCCGCCCCGGGGCCGGGCTGGGGGGCCTGGGCTGTTTCTTTAAGGCTTCCAGTCATGTGAGCCCTGGACCAGAGCGCAGTCGGGCCCTGAGACGCTGCTGCTTCGCCCTTCCCTGCGGCGTGACGGCGGGCGTCTCGGCCAGCTCCGTGCGGGGGGCGAAGAGAGGCAGCGTGTGTTAGGTCCCCGCCCCGGGGCCGGGCTGGGGGGCCTGGGCTGTTTCTTTAAGGCTTCCAGTCATGTGAGCCCTGGACCAGAGCGCAGTCGGGCCCTGAGACGCTGCTGCTTCGCCCTTCCCTGCGGCGTGACGGCGGGCGTCTCGGCCAGCTCCGTGCGGGGGGCGAAGAGAGGCAGCGTGTGTTAGGCCTGGGTGCGGCCGGCGGTGTGGTCCGGGGTACTAGTTCGGGGAGCGGGGTGTGACACTAGTGCGGTGAGCGGGGCACCCGAGTCTTGGGTAAGCGGACCTCCAGCCTGCCAAGGTCAGTTCCCACGCTGTAAGCCCCACCGGGTGCATAAGGTGGTTTGATGGAGGCTGGGAATGTTTGGGAAGCACCGCTGCCGGTGATGGCTGCCTTCTGCTGCCTGGTGTTGTGGCATGGTGGGTGCAGCCAGCTCCCGGCGTGATTAAGGGCAAGTAGCTCCACCTGCAGAAAAAAAGCTTTGCTCCTCTGTGCAAGTGGAAAAACTTGAGTTGTTCTTGCTGATGTAGCAATACCTAAAGCAGCAGTCTGGCTCGCAGGTCGTTGTTGTATAGCACTAATGAGGAACACTGACAGAGTTGCCCGGCACTTCTTGGAAAATTGATGGTCTCTGAAGCTGTGGTGAGTGATGCACATCATCTGTGGGGAGCCATGTCGCAGTGTTCTTGGCTCCAAAGCTGGTGGGAGTGTGTGGCAGCAAACTAGAAGTCTTGAGTGCTGGCTGAAGTCTGTGGACCCCACCTTGACTGAAGCTGGGTCTTCTGTTTACATCCTCCAGACTCTTGCTCGTAATTTTTTTTTTCCATTTCTTAGTGTTGGAGGTGGTTCATGACTAGTTTTGCGTGTTCTCATCCAGTTTATCCATTTGTAAAAGTCCCTGGGACGATGCGAGGATGACAATAGTGGATCAGACCAAAGGACCTTTGTCCGTTCTCTGATGATGGCTAGAAGTGGGTGCCCCGGTAAGAGTACAAGCAGAGGGCAAGTTTATAGCAGTGTGTCCCCTGGATTGTGCTTCCGGTCTTGGGATTTCTGAATCTGTATTTAGAGTTGCCATTGACAAGAAAAAATCTGTTGTTTAAACCCAGGTAAACTTCTGGTGCTGCAGTGTCCTGCTGCAAACCATTTCACAGCTTTAGTTACCTGCTGTGTGAAGAAGTATCACTTTCTGGTTTTGATGCATTGTCTGCCTGTTTCCCCTCACCATCCCAGTGCTCATATTGGAAAAGCGTGTGGACGTTCATTTGATAATTGTCCTCTCCAGGGCAAATGGTCTCTTGTCTTAGTTTGCAAACCTGTAGTCTGTTTATTTGTTTCTCAGGTTTGATCCTCATTGTTTCATACCAGTGACTAGGTAATGTAAAAGTGAGAAATTGAGTATGTAATTCTCTTGGGTACTTTCAGCGTGACGTTTTGGCTAGGATTAGGTTGCCAAACATATCCCAGTACTTACAATATGTATGAACTCATTGCAGCTGCTGTTCTTGAGTACTGGCAGCCTGGGAGGACTGGTCCACTATGTGGTCTGGAAGACACATCTGTATTAGAGGGCGTTTGGCTTTCCTTCTGTGCGTGGATTAACTAACCAAATAAATAAAGGAGGTGACCTCTTGCAGCCTCAATCCATGATCACAAGTAATCAGATATCTGATGTTTTTATCTTTGCCATCCTACAATAGTTATAGTGCAACATGAAAGAAGGAGCCAAGTTAAGTTTTGGACATCTCTGAAATGTAAAATCCTCCTCACTAGGCTAATTAAAGATTAAATCAGGCAAACATATTTAAGGAATGATATGGGTCTACTTGATTCAGTTTTGGATTTAAAGCGCTTTTTCCCACTCGTGAGTCCAGCTGGTGAGGAAGTGTCACAGTTAAAGGCCTTCATGAAGCAACCAGAGGGTTTCCCGCATAAACAACTTTCTTGCGTATCTGTTTGTAATCTAGTAGAAATGAAAGCGGGTGAACGTAGGAGTTACCAGATGTGGCAATATTAGATTCCTGCAGTTGAGTCTCCGAGGGAAACTTCTTATTTAAAAAATAAACCTGTTTTAACAAAGAGAGGTGGAAACTGGATCTCTCATAAAGCTCTGTAAGGAACGTGTTTCTCATTAAAGAGATTATTTTCTTGTATGTCCCACGTCACTTATCAAAGAGGCTTTTGGCAGCTTTGGCAATTTTGAGAAGTGCTTAAGTCAATTTAGCAGCCAGAAACCAGGAGCCTAGAGCTCTAGGAGTCAGCTGACTGGAGATCATGGTTTCGTATCAATGATTTGAGGGAGAAAAACATCGTTCTGAATTCTGATAGGGATGCTTCCTGTTTATTCGGTAACCACTTTTACAGTCGCTCTGCATTTTTTCATTAACTTGGTCCGGAGAATAAGTTGCTGTAAGAGTTGTGCCAGTGCCTGCTTTGAGGATGGGGTGCGTTGGGTGGCTTGCTAAGCCCAGGTGAGCTTGGTACCTACGTCTGGGGAGGCTGAGAGCCCGGCCTGGTCATAGGCTTGGGGGAGTGGCCGTGGGCACCACTTTGCGGAGGACTGCGTTCCTGGTATTGCTGCATCGGGGGGAAGTTTGCTGTTGATACAATACGTTGGTACAGCAGTTTTGGACGTTGTTTTCTGTTGTTTGAGTTTGTTTTGAGGCCAGTCTGTTGGTTCAGCTCCTTCAAATATTCCTGCAGTCTAACATCCTTCTCTCTGGCTGCTCGTGTCTTGAGCTGGCTCCTGGGGCAGCGGCCCAGAAATGGATGAATATGAGCTACCTGGCAGAGGGGGCCCTGTCTTTCTGCTTGCCTTTTTTTTTTTTTCTCTCCTTCCAGTCGCGTATTTTTGACTGACTTGCATGCAGTCCTAGTAGGTCTTCAAAGACCATGTGCAGTAAACTGTGTTGCTCATAGTATGATTTGGATGATGAAAAGATTTTTATTGTTCCGTTGATTCCACTCTGCCTATTCTAGAAATACCAATGTGATAAGACGTGATTGTTTAGCTGTGCTTGCCTAAAACACGTTTCAAAATTTTCCCTTTGTATTTTTAACACTTGATTGTTTTTTTTTTTTCTTGTTGTTTCCTTTTTTTCTTCTAGAATTCTTCCGAGAGCCACAATTGTGCCAAAAGCATCTTGACCTCAGACAGGCTGCAGATAGTTGTGACCCTTTCGGTGTTCTTTAATGAAACCTGGGAAGCAGCCAACTGTGCAAGTATGTGACTCATTCTGTAGCTTTCATGCTACTGTTATGACTTAGCTTAATTTTGCCCCTAAAATTTGCACAGATCAGAATTGTATGTATTTGTTTAAATACAGACAGTATATAACATAAAAATCCTAAACTACAGCCACTCCAATGAGGGGTACAGGAGTTTTTTATTTTGCCAAAATATGAGGGCACTAGTCTGTTGGAAAAATCAGTTGTTATATAAATATTTGGTTTAGGCTATTCTTTCAAAAGGTAGTTATGTTAGTTTCCTTTGTGATCTACAGACCCTGCTGGAGACTTTCCTTAGCTTCATTGAGGTTTCTTCTGTTTTTCCCAGTCTTCCCATTTTTAAAAAACTTACATAAGAAACTTCTCCTTGTTTGCTAATAAAGTCAGTAACTCTGGAATGCTTACACGTTGAACGGTATCTGCCTCCACAGCCATGCTTTTTATTTCATTTTATGGGTAGAGGATGTCCAAGTCTATGGACAAGACAAGTCTTTTGCCAAGACAGGCAAAGCCTGTCTCTCGCTGTCCCCATGCTGATGGTGCTGTGCCATGCTTACAGCTAAACTGTGGCTTTTTGCCATTCCCCTGGTGGGGGAAGTGGGACCCTACGCTAATAGATGCGCTAGAAAACAGTGGGAATAGCACCATGGAGTTGAGCGTTAAAGATGCTGGGTTTGCTGCAGGGTCCCTTGAGAGCCCAGAAGAGTTTGTTTTCATTTCTGAGTCTGGGCTGTGTGAAGGCTGGAAGGGCAGTACAGGAGCAGCTCTGTGGTCTGTGCTGTCCTGCTGTGCTTAGCCTGTGACCTGTGTGCTGCCTGCCCGGCGTCCAGCTGAATGCTCGCCCTCAGTACTGACAGCGCTTCGTTCTTTCAGGAGAATTTTCTAGGCTGTTGGCTTGCTCTCACGGTGCTGTTGCTGAACATCTAAATTCCCAAGCCACTGTTGTTTTCAAGGGTCTTTCTGGTTAGAGCACCTGAAGTGGGGTGGGAGGGATGGAAGCAGTGACAATGGTAAGGTTGAGCCTGTGACTGGGAGGAAAGCCGCAGAGCTCCCCTCGAAGCTGGTGAAACGATCAGCTCTTTTCTTCAACAGTAATAACCTACGCTCTGATTTCTACTATTGTGTTCATGGCCTAGCTGTTTCCTGGATGCTCTTCCTTTCATCTCCGCTGCTGGTGCTTCTGCTTTCACGTAATGGCTGTTACTGTTGCTGGGCAAAGCCAGATCTGCAGGCTAGAAAGTAAAAGTAATGTCTTGTTTTATCTTAAAGTCCAAAGATAATTCAGACTCCCTCTTCAGAAAGCTCTTGATGATAGTCTTCATCTCACTTAATCAAGGCCAATTAATTCTGAAATATGCTCTCGATGAAGAGTTAGGTCAGCAGGTCTGAGACATCAATGGCAGGCAGATAAGGAAACCACAGTGTTGACTAGACCCGTCTTTTATAGTCGAGAGCTCTTTTTTCAGGAGTGGAGTGTCTGGGGCTTGTCAGCTATGGAAATGTTAGAAATGAGAATATCCTGATGTTTTTCTTTCTTTTTGACAGATTGTTTAAAGAACAACAGTGAGGGATTATCAAATTCTACCGTAGAATTCCTGGATTTATTCAATAAATCTCTGACATGTTTTGAACATAACTTCCAGGTATTTATGCTGTGTATTTAAGAGAAGCGCTAAATCCTCTAATTGCTAGCAAAATCTGACTTCTGCTGAATAAACCGCAGATACAGATTAGGCAAATAAACTGCTGGTGAGTTTGTGACTTTTAGGCAGATAAAGCAATGATCTGTAAAACGCAGATGTTTACAGATTGAGAGCCTAAAATTAATTCTAATTAATATTCACCTTGAATTAATTTTGTATGTAATTGCAATGCTACTTCACATCAGAATTTCTGAATTCGCAATGGTTGATAATTATACAGTAAGAAACGGCAGGTCTGCGTGCTGTAAGTCTTTTTCTGTCTCGTTGTGGAATTGTTGTCTTCTGACTTAACAATTCAATCTTTAAATAACCTTTTGATAATATAGACTGGTTCAGAAAGACCAGCTACCTTAAATCGTTGTAACAATTCTTTTGACGAGTAAAATTATGGGTAGTTAAAGTTTGTCCATATTGCAAAGGCGATATAACTTAGTGAAATAAATGTGGTAATTGTCCTCAAAGAAAATGCCCTAAATAGCCTAAGAAACTGCGCATATTCCATTTCAATCAGAAACTGGCCAAGTTCCGGGATTGTTCAGTAGTAAAAATGGGAAACGATGGGTATGGGACAATCTCTGAGGAAACTGTCTGCTGCTTTTATTATTAATGATTTCTAGGAAATGTGCCTTTATAGGCCTTGGTCAGGAGCAGTGTGGACTGGCCTATCGATCACTTCAAGTGTCTGAACTAGAACGTAACCCAGTGGTTGGTGGGTAGCTGGTACAACCATTACTGGGTTGGAATATCTTTAGAGATTGTAGTTTTGTTTTCAGGTGTGTCGTATTTCATTCAGGGGTGGTGAAGGCCACAAATGAAAAGTATTACCTACTATGGCACAGTCTGTCCTTGCCAATATAGCTCAGCAGTAGCAACCTAACAGTTGTTAGGTATGGGCAAACAAAAACAAACAAAAAAACCCTATTAAGGAACCCGGTATCTCTGGCTCCAGAATAACATTTAATTGCTAGTAATTCTTTTTTTTTTTTCTGGGAACTGGTACTTTAACAATAAGTGTTTAAATAAAAAAGCTGCTAGTCCAAAGAACAGTCTGAGATGCAGAACCTGCAGGAAATGGATCCTGTCCCTAGTGAATTAGAGTTGGTCCCTTTTCCTCCTGCATTCTCATGTGAGTTCTCCGTCTGGGCCGCTATTCAATCTAGGATGCTAAAAATCTGGATTTTGGTTCAAACTTGACTCTAGTTTTTAAGTTGGTTTTTTTTAATAATGCCTGAAAAGAGCATTCATACAGAGTTTTATAACCCTAGGGACAAACAGTCTATCTGTCACCAAATAACTACACAGAGGTATGTAAAAACTGCAACGAAACCTACAAAATGTTGAATGACCTGTATAACAACTTGCAAAGGATGAACAGGCAAGGTGGTGAGTCCGGGCATTCCACACACTTGTGTATCGACGTGGAAGATGCAGTAAGTATTTATTAATATTCAACAGGGAGACCTTGTCATGGAGGTGTTTATTAATCTGAGCCATTTGTGCTTGTCTTGCTAGGGATTGCCTCTTCCCTTTCGGTGTGGGACAGCACTGGCAGCAGTGCCTTTGTCAGGTTGATGTCCCGTGAGGAAGAAGTTAGCCCGGAGGGGCTGTCTTGCTAGGTCCTGTCCTCAGTCAGTGCAGCAGGAGCATGACTGAAGCTCCTGATCACCCGAGTGCATTCCAGTTTAAGTAGCTGCACTTCAATTTCTTGTTACTGCGAAGGGGATGGATTTAAAAAAAAAAAAAAAATCGTGTTAATCTTCTGGCTTTTAATGTGAAACTCTACTGCTGTTGTTCTAGCCAGTGCAATAATTGATTCCTTATTACAGCAGCTGTTTCCTCAGCATTGGCGACGTATGTTTGGGAAAAGCTTTGTTATACTGTGGGGTTTCAAGCGGTTGGGGAAAAGGAGTGCTGTCAAAAGTCTGGGATTAGCCCTGTCCCCGCAGGCTGTCAGTGAGTTCTCTGGGGAACAGGCATGTGGCAATGCTGCAGTGTATCTGAGCGTAGTCTGGTTTTGAAGCTTGTAAAAGTTTTGATGTGAAATTTTGGCTCCATCTAAATTGTCTGTTTCTATGTTTCCAGGGATTTGCTCACTTCGGGGGGGGGGATCTGTTAAAGTGTTGTTTTCTGAGGTCATGTTTGAACACTTGAATGTCTTGAGGCCTGAGTGTTTGCCATGCAGCACAGCAAAAATGCATGTGCACGCTTTCACGGCTTGCTTATGTTTTTCTTGTAGATGAACATCACTCGGAAGCTTTGGAGCAGGACTTTCAACTGTTCTGTTCCCTGCAGTGATACAGTCCCAGTGATTGCGGTTTCATCCTTTATTCTCTTCCTACCGATCGTTTTTTATCTTAGTAGCTTCCTTCACTCGAAGCAGAAGAAACGGATACTCATTTTGCGTAAGTGATGGTGCTGGCATTTCACGGTTAGAGTTGGGCGGTGCCAGGGACTCGCTTGGCTCTTGTGGGAGAGGGGGCCCAGCCAGATCTGCCCGCAGCTGTGCTGACGGCGCTAATAGCAACTATTAGTCTGCTGCTGTCCCCTGAAGAAGGGTAGTAAAGAGCTTCAGCCATATCTTTTCATTAAAGTTTCTGGACGTGAACAGAAAGCTGTTTGCAAGTCTGTGTCAGATAAATAGAGGGAGTGGAGAGACTAGTTTTGTGGAATTCTTTGTGTTTAATTTTCATATAATTTTTCCCTTTCTAGCCAAGCGCATCCAGTCAAATGCCAGTCTTGTGAACATCCAAGAAAAATACAGCTGAGCTGCAAAACAAAACCTGAGAACTGCTGCTGGTATACAGTGGGTACAATTGTGTTGGAATGAGGCCGGCACAAAGGGGGAGTTAATTATGGTTTAGTGTAATGATACAGAGCAACACAAGTTAAACAAAATGCTGTCTGACTTCTAAGCAAGGATATTAACAAACATGACAAGGCAGGGCTGTGTGATGCTGTATGGACTCTGGTTTTGAAAAATCTGGTTTGGTTTTTTTTTTCCCTTCAGTCTTGGGCTGAAGCTGGTATTTTTCTGTTTCTAAGCTTTTGTACTTCTCATCAATAGAATAGTTACACTTTTCTTGCATGTTTTTTTTTTTCCTCTAATTTATCGTATTTGTTTCACGGAAACCTGAGATTCTGAATCTTTTTGAGGTTATTTTCATAGACAGACAAAACTTGAAATAACATTTTATGTTCCTGCTAGAAATATTATGTTTAATTCCACATAACATACAGTTTTGCCAGACTTGGGATGGACAGGAAACCTTTGAAAAGAAAAGTTCCCATCTTTCTGATACGTCTCTCTAAAGTCATGCTGATGGTCTCTGTTGGGGGGGGGGGGGAAAAGTCACGAAATGTGTGGAGGAAGTGGTAATATATAATGTCCAAAGCCAGCAACAAAAGCAACAGAACTGCCAGTCTTAGGCATGGATAATAATCATTGATGACTACAGTATTCAGCTATCTCTGAAGCAGGCGGCATATTTAGTCATTTGCACACTTTAACCACTAAAATCGTTGCTTTTCAAATGTTAAATTTTCAGAGGCTTATTTTAGATGTCTGCTTGGGTAACTGATTGCTTCACTGTTTGTCTGTTTATTGTGTTATTTCCTTTCCTTTTTAATTATCAAGGTTTTTTTGGGGTTTTTTTTTGCTTTTGTAAAGGAGAAGCGAGGTAAAGTCAAGTCACTGGAGATGCTGAATTTCCTGGTCTAGAGCTTGCTATGGCTTAATACAGAGGTGTTTACAGGAACTTTGTAGGGAAAAAGTTACCTTTTCTAGATAATGTGTATTTTAGTGGTAAATGAACCAGGAGGTTCTCTAACTTAAAAACTGTCCTGAAGGGCAATGAAGATACTGTGTTGGGAATTGATGACTTTCAAGACATAGTTTCAAACATTAGACCTGTGAAATAGATGAATGTAAACAAATCCGAGCTTGCAGGATTCCGAAGCTGATGGAGAAATTCGTACAATAACTGTGGGGGATGGATAGTGCTACTGACCGGTTGTGGGCACAATTCAACAACCGCAGCAATACTGAGGGTTCTGTTCGGTTATGATAGCCCTGATTTGAGAGAGTGGTGGGGTTGAAACAATTTATAGCTGAACTTGAGGTTAATGAATGCCAGAGTCTTTGCTCCCTTTTTCAAATGTGTTTTCTAACCTTGAGATAAAAATGAATGGCCATTACAGCTAAAAAATTAAATTTCTCTTGGAATCTGTGTTTCTGACGTCTGTCAAAAAACCCTGTGAAATATTCTTATGTATTTGACTTGCTTTGGAGCCTAGAATGTTACATTTTTCCTTGCACTAAGGCTCAAGTAAATATATAACAATGTAACAAAACAGTCCTAAAGCTGTTCAAGTCATTGGTTTTCTTGTTTTTCTTGTTATTTTGGGTTTTTTTTTTTGAGTTAGGACATACCGTCAGTTTTAATATTAAACATACTGTCAGTTTGACTTTAAGTAAAATACTGTGTTAACAATTGGTCCCGCCTGCATGATTGCCTTTTTGTATTTTATCAGTAAGAAGTATTTACCTCCCTCTGTTAAACATGTGAATTACTAGGTCAACAGTCTAGGTGGTTCTAGGTGATTTACAACAATAATGTAAAACTGTGTTTCTCTTGCTTATTACATAAAGTTACCTTCTTGCGGCTGGGAGAGGCATGCTGCCTTTAAAAAAAAAAAAAAAAGATTATTTTTCATATCTCTTGTTCTTAAACTTCAACTTTCTGGGACTTATTCAGCTGCCTGCTCTAATAGCATTACATTGATTTGGGACATCATATGATTGAGAGCTGTTCAAAGCAATCTTTCATTCGTGCAGATAAAGCCAGTTTGTATGTGCAGGATTTCAGAATTACAGCTTTTATACTGTAAGCAGTGGCTTTTTGAGCACATTCATGTTAAGTAGGTCTGAAAGTCATTACTTCTGGATATGATGGTTAAGCACTTTAAAAAAAAAAAAATTAAAAAAATCAGCTTTTCTTATTTTTGTGGCTGCTAAGCCAAACGGAAATACTCATGTGACTTTTGTTGTTTTTTATTTTAAAGCAGCAGTAAAGTTTACACTTGAGATTTTTAATGTTACATCTACTATTTTCTCCTTTTTTCTTTCACACTCCCTCCCCTCCCAAATTTGTACTACTAACTTTCTTTACACAGTGTTATATTTTTGGTAGGATATTTCATATATCAAACGGAAATACTCATGTGACTTTTGTTGTTTTTTATTTTAAAGCAGCAGTAAAGTTTACACTTGAGATTTTTAATGTTACATCTACTATTTTCTCCTTTTTTCTTTCACACTCCCTCCCCTCCCAAATTTGTACTACTAACTTTCTTTACACAGTGTTATATTTTTGGTAGGATATTTCATATATAAATTGATTGAATTTTTTTGTTACTCTGTTTCCTAGAGAAATGTGGAAGCACACAGTCTGTGTTGAAGGAGAAGTAGAATTCTTTTTGCTGCTAGTCTTTCATCTTGGTTTATTTTTGTCTTTTTGGTATTCTGTGTACTAACTAGGATGGACTTTGAAATACTAGTTGTTTGTATCTTTTTGTGCAAATAAAGATTTCTTACTGTGGGGTAGCACTCTGATTCATATTTATACTTACTAGGAAACCTCTAAACATGGAAAGTCAGCTCTAATAAAGATTGTCAATAAACAGTGAACAGTGTGGTTACTTAATTGCTTCATTTATAGTAGTTTTATACTCCTGCTGTTCTGGGTATGTGTTCAGAAGCACCTGCTTATTATTCCTCATTATGCCATTTGCAGGAAAACAGCATCAGAAAGATGTTATCAAAGCAGTGCTGTGCTGAATTACAGAACAAGTGAACTGCAACTGCTGAGAAAGGGTGGAGTTTCAGCTCAGTCAAAGCCTACTGAAGTATACGGAAACTAACTCCTGCTAGTTGCAACCGAGTTTCTTGGATGGGTGTGTGTGGGTAAGGCTAGTGGGGATGACTTGCTGTCTTTGTGGGGAGGCTTTTGGTTGCCTGCTCTGGCCACTCTTTCAGCTTCAGCAGGCACGGTGTTGGATTGCTGTTGAGCTGGAAGATTTCCTTAACAGTGGCAGTGCAGTGCCTCACCATGGAGAGAGCTGGGTGTCTCACCTGATGAGAGTAGCCGTGTGCACTAGTGGTAGGATGTAGATGTCTCGAAGGCAAATTTAAATCGCAGTGTGTCACTTGCAAGGGACCTCCAGGAGGGCTGGGAAAGTTGTAGTGCCAGCGTGTGAGGTGTGGCTTCAGCTGCAAAACTAGGAATGTTTCTGGTTGCCTGTATGCTTGGGAGAGGGACTTGAAAGGGAGTAAGCACAGGAGAAGGGCAAGCCGAAGAGCAGGGGATTCATCCAATGAACGGAGGAGAGGCTCTACTAGTTGAGGGTAATTTGACCAGTAACTGAGGGTGGAAATGAGGGTCTGTAAGCACACTTGGAACAAAATCTTTTGGAGGGAGAGGCTGCCAAAGTTCACAGGTGGTCGAAAGGCCCTGAGAAAAGAGAGTACAAATGGGGCCTTGATTGCAGCTGAGCTGGAAAGGGGAGGCTCTGGCTCCTTGGTGGAGGTGAGGTTTGGGGACTGGTAGCAGGGAGACAGAGCAGCTGAGCCCAGGTCCCCTGCTGGTCTGTCCTGGTGATGGGACACGCAGGTGGGCTGCCTGTGCAGGTTGGGAATGGGAGCAAGTAGTGGGATGGCAACAGGGACTTGCTTCTGAGTTACTTAAAAGCAGCTGCTTTCTTCTGGGAGGGTACCTGAATTGTGTGATGTGGTGGATGGTGTTGAAGTAATCCCGGTTCAAAGGCTGTTTACAAAGCTCATGTTGTATTTCAGGCTGAGTGAGGGCTCCTGTTTAGCACTGAACAGGGGACTTTTTTCTTTAAAACAAACCAAAAATACTTGGGTTTTGTGTAATGGCTGCTTTTTTTCCATCTTTATTAAATGCCTGCTACAATCACAAAATGGCTTCGGTTTCCTAATGTTTTGCTTCTGGTGCTTCCTGTCCAGTTAATCAAGTACCATCAAATGTACTTGCATTTCTGCTAATTTATACGTTAGTTTTCATGCCCTGAATATAGAGTTTCTCTGGAATGATAAGCTGTGTGATCAGCAAAGTCACTGCACTCCTAATCAGAATGTAAGCGTAACTTACCAATTTTTGTTCATATTTTAGTGTGAATTTTCCTTCTGGGACTGGTGTAAGCATTTTTAGCCTGATCTTTGTTAAGTTTGTGCAGGATGCACCTTCTGTATTTTTGCCAGTGTAAAAAGCTGCACATTGGAAGAGCGGAGCCAATAAATTTTGCAACTTCTCTGAAGCGTTGCTTCTCCCAGTGTTGCGATTAGTGTCTGTTGCTACTTGGTGGAGTCAGCCAGGATGATTCATGTGCAATTAGTAGCCTTGTGTTGTGCTTAGAGTTGAAATGCAGTTGCTATCTTGGAGAACCTGGTCTAATCCAAGGCAAAAATAACATGTAAAGGAAGAAAACAGGAGGTGATGTGATTGATGACCAGAGTCAGTTGTGCGATAACCTTTTCCAAGTGTAGGTTTAATACAGAGATGCCAGCATCTCTGCTGGCCGTCAGGAGGGTTTCTGGCATGGTCTGTACCCGGGACCGGGTGTGGGCTTAAGGAGATGTCTGACCAGTGTCTTCTGCTATGGCACGCAGCTTCAACACTTCACATCTGCTCTGCTTGAAAGATGGTGCTGGTCCAAACTGGTTTCCCCCAGCATCTACTTTGGGGCCTGAGGAGCTGCCTGGGGCACTTCTGATTTGTGCTGGCTAACGTGAGCGTGTGGGAGCACGCGCGCTTCTCTGGGAGTGCAGTGGGCTAAGACAGGCCTTCGCAGCTTGCACAGATTAGAGGTGAGGGAAGAGGGAGGGTTTTCATTTTGCAGGGAGTTTTTTGTTACTTTCATCCTTATACAGAGAAGACAAAGCTGCATTTTTTCCCCCACATAAAACAACTTCCCCACCCCTGTTTCCTGCTGAATCCTTGCTTTGATGCATTTGTGTATGGTGCGTGGAGCTTGCTTACTGCAAATGTCATTGATGTCTTACAGGGGATCTCCACTCTACATGGACATAGGCAAATTGCTGAGGGGAGGCTATTTGGCATTGGGGAACACTTTGCTTTCACCTAAACCTTAACTGTGTTTCATCTCCGCCTGTCAGCCCTACTTTGAGACCCTTGGAGGTCACCTAGTCCAAGTCCCTGCTCAAGCAGGGCCATCTCCAAAGTTGGATCAAGTTGCTCGTACTCATTTCTCTGAGCTGTGGCAAGGGTAGTGCCAGGGAACTGGCACTGTGGGGAAGGAATACGGGGAATACTCAATAGAATAGTACAGCTTAGCTTTGAAAGGAGCCTGCTGCTTGAAGTGTGAGCTGGGTTTGGGCTTTTTCGCTTCTGCGCATCTTGCTTGCAAGCAGGAACGGGCAGAACAGGGCTGACCAGGTGGCAGGACGGCAGGGATGCTGTTGCAATGTTTTGCAGAGTCAGAAACGCAAAGTTGCATCGAGTAAACTGCTAATTGTTTTCTAAAAATAACTTAATGAGTTGTGGTGGAAATAAGTTAAATAGTGGGCTGGTTTTGGCTGGGATAGAGTTAATTTTCTTCATAGTAGCTAGTATGGGTCTATGTTTGGGATTTGTGCTGGAAACAGTCCTGATAACACAGGGATGTTTTCGTTACCGCTGAGCAGCGCTTACACAGAGTCAAGGCCTTTTCTGCTTCTCACCCCGCCCCACCAGCGAGTAGGCTGGGGGTGCACAAGGAGTTGGGAGGGGACACAGCTGGGACAGCTGACCCCAACTGACCAAAGGGATATTCCACACCATATGATGTCATGCTCGGCATATAAAGCTGGGGGAAGAAGAAGGAAGGGGGGGACGTTCGGAGTTATGACATGATGGAGCCCTAAACACCTGCCTGCCGATGGGAAGCAGTGAATGAATTCCTTGTTTTGCTTTGCTTGCGTGCGCGGCTTTTGCTTTACCTGTTAAACTGTCTTTATCTCAACCCACGAGTTTTCTCACTTTTCCCCTTCCAATTCTCTCCCCCATCCCACTGGGGGGGAGTGGGCGAGCGGCTGTGTGGGGCTTAGTTGCTGGCTGGGGTTAAACCGCAACAAATAGTTACATGAACTCTGAAATCTTCCCTTACTCCCATCTGAGGCGAAAATATTGGAAAGCTCTTTCAAATATTTCATAAAAGAGACAGACTCACTAGTAGCTCGGTTGAAGTTTTAACTTTTAATACTGAAAATTCCCCTCTGGTGCCAGCACAGTAAGTATCATGGATTGCTGCAATTAAACCAGTGCCTTAAGTTATTCATAATACTCTTTCTGGGCAGCATTCCCACCTGCTTAATCTGTGCTATAGAAGCGTTTATTAGAACTGACTGTTGAAAAACGCCAAGCTAAATATGAACTCTGAAATCTTCCCTTACTCCCATCTGAGGCGAAAATATTGGAAAGCTCTTTCAAATATTTCATAAAAGAGACAGACTCACTAGTAGCTCGGTTGAAGTTTTAACTTTTAATACTGAAAATTCCCCTCTGGTGCCAGCACAGTAAGTATCATGGATTGCTGCAATTAAACCAGTGCCTTAAGTTATTCATAATACTCTCAGCATTCAGCATTCCCACCTGCTTAATCTGTGCTATAGAAGCGTTTATTAGAACTGAAAAACGCCAAGCTAAATCAGACCAAAAAAAAAAAAAAAAAAATCAATTTGATGCCCTAAACTGGTTTAATATGTCTTTCCTCTTCAATAATCCTACATGTTACTGATTTATTTGCTGTAATGAACATGCCATTCAACCGAAACAAGATTAGCTGCTTAAACCGCAGCATTAAGCACGGAGCAACTTTAATGCTGCTTTATGTTTCATTGTAATGCTCAGCACTTAGTGTTGTCTGTGTCTCTCCTCTGCAATA